CAGTCAACCGTGAATGTAATGACATGACCAGGGTGTCATTTTAAAGAGGAGATTCATATTTCCCTTTGATTCACATGTGCCCTACTTGTGTTCCACTTACCAACAATATCTTGATTTCGTTTTTTTTTTAATCCACCCTGTATAAACGACCCAAATTTATTTGTTTCGGAACAAATTGAAATCTAAATTTACCTCTTTCTTTTGTAGTACTTGCATGGAATTCCAAACTTGAGGTCATTACTTTTCCATACAGACAAAAGGCTGATCCGTTTTACATGTTTTGTTTATTTTATTAAATCTATACCGAGCGCAGTATTTCTAACTTGTGTACACAGTGCTAACATCAGCATGAAGTGAATGCACAAACCTTGAAATAAAACAGTCCATGCGGAATTTGTGTTGAGTTGAATTCATGACTCGACCAGTAATATTAGAAAAGCCGTATAAATCACCTTTAATTGGTTTACTTTAAAGTCGCCCATGCGAGTGCAAGGCAGAATTTTGTAGACATTCGTTCAGGGGAGTACTAAGGAATAAAAAAGACGTTTGAATTTCATTCAGAGCAAATTTTAGGTCGATCTGGATTTTGAACACTTAGAAGTATGTATGTTGACGAATGTATGTTTATTTATGTCGGCAAGGAAATGAGATCAGAAGAATTATGTGTTTTCTTTGGAAGAAAGTCGGTGTACAAAAACTGCAATATTTTTACCACAGGGCCTGTACGTCGAGAATGGAGCTGGAGTTTTATGGGTGGCATGGGTGACTAGTGCGTAAAGCGCTTGCCTCTCACTTCTGTGGCCCAGGTTCGATTCACGGCTAGGACCATTATGTGAGTAGAGTTGTGCGTTGGTTCTCTCCTGTGCCACGAGGCTTTTTCTCAGGGCTCTTTTGTTTTCCTCCCTCCGCAAAAATCAAACACTTTCGATCTCTGGCTGTGCTCCGTGGTCATATATGGGTCGTACGGCGGCTGCCTAAGGCACGTTTGCATGCCTGCGGCTTGACCACGTTGTAGCCGCGTCCTTCGCAATTTAGCTTCTCAGCTGCAAGTAAGGATGACGAGCCCTCTAAATTAATATTATTATTATCATTATAATAATTATTATTTTGGGGTTTGGAAGTGTTTTTACCTGATCATATTAAGATGCATGTCCAGAAAACTGCTGTCAAAGTTGAAAAATATAAAGACAAACAAAATCTTCGTGTCAGGACACATGTAACATTTATAATCCTATTTTTCTATGTTTTTTAACCCGAGACTGAGTCCCTTAAAACAAAATGTTGAAAGTATTTGTATTTTTTGTGTGTGCTATGCCTAGCTTTTATGACATACAATGTATACTTCACGCCACATTGTCACCTAAGTGGATGAAAGACCGTAGAAGTACAATTTAGGGCTTTTTTGAAAACAGCCATATTTGTTTTGCATTTTAAAAGAGTACCCATGATTGTGGCGGTGCATAGCATACATGTAGTTTCCAAGAAATGTGAGACTAGACACAACCGTCGTGGGAAAGAGTGGCGTACTTAACCGTTCGATCGGACGTAAAATATTTATTAGATACAGTAATCAAATACAGCATTGCAATATCTCCTTTCCACTTTCAAGATTGCAATATTACCACTTTGTATACAGCAGGCCTGCAAATTTGCCGCGACCAGCAACCTTCACGTACAATAATTTGTTGGGGGGGGGGGGGCTATTTTAAGTCCTATATTATGTAGGGCTCGCACTAGCATTGGATCAAGCAGGCCGATATATCTGCTCAAGAATCAAATTTGGAGCCTAATTCCTATGGTGCCAAAGATATGCATGTCAATTTAGTACAGGGAGCCCAATTTCGGTGCCAGGTTTTGGTGCTAATCAAAACCTCAGCTGGGAACCAGCCACACGCAATATGCTTGCACGGCACTTTGGTTGGTAACCTGCTTTTGCTTAGCATACATTTACTGTGCTTACAGCAAATTCTTTTGGGCCCAGGTCGTGAAAGCTGCGTTCTGCATTAATGGGTTGCTCAGTTCGTGCGTTGGTCGGGACTTCGCTCGTTACATCGTTGTGTCGGAGTGATTACTTTGGTATATATTTTTGTGTCAAATGTACGAAGATTTGGGAACACTGTATCCCCGTATGGTTAAAGTTTAGGTTCAGTTTTTAAGTTAAGTTTTTGAAAAACATGTATAACTTCTACATGCTTTCATAGATTTTGATGAAACTTGGATGCAGTGACCCTAGGGTGGGAAGACATAATTCCTCAATTGATTACTGAGGTCAAAGGTCATTAGGGGTCATTAGAGGTCATTGTTCGAATATGCTGCAATGGTTTCTTTGTCTACAGAATTTGATGGATTTTTAGTCACTTGCATGGAGTCATCCTTGGGTGGGGGTTCATGACAAGTCTTCAGAAATGGAGGTCAAAGGTCATACAGGGGTCAATGGAGGTCATAACTCATGATGGACAAAATGCTGAAAGGCGTTTCTTTCACAGAAACAATTAAATACATGCCAGGACCCAATCATTTCTTCAGCTAAGAACACAAAACGTGTAGGCATCGACCGCGAAAAAAAGGCGAGACGCGTGATCCGCGGATCACCTTGTGTGTTTTTTTAATAAATCAACCAGAAGAGAAAGTGATTTATGAAAATGTGTCAGTTTTTTTATAGTGAGCAACTCAATTTGACACTTTTTGATATATTTGAAAATGACAAAATTGCCAATTTTGAGACAGGTTGCTCACTTGGCAGAGCGGCGCTAGCCCAGCAAGTGTTCCTGAGGTAGCAAGGTTATAATTCCGCTCTTGACAATTTTCGTTGTTCAGTCCGAAATATCAATTTCTACTTTAAAAGCTGTTTTCGGCAAAAGTATTCATCGATTAGTATGTGTAAGATAAATATATTATTGTTTTGTCGATGTGAGGGGCAAGATTCTCGTTATAATCCCAATCATTGTCGGACGTTGAGCCATTGTAGGTCTTTGCACGTAGCCACCATTTTGGTTCGATATCGAGGCTCTATAAGTCATGTTTCCAAGCTACAACGTAAGAACCCATTCCAAGGCCCGACCTTGCGAATGAACCCTTGTTTTGCAACCGACCAACGATAAAAGGCTCATAAATTGGCACCGAAATGCTTCGGTTTTTTCTTTTCCGCACAGGCGTTTCTTTTTTCCCGGAAGAGACTAAAAATCGATCTCATAACTTACTATCGCAGCGATCGTGCATGGCCTCGCAAATTAGATTGGATGTGGTTTTCATCAAATTGAACACAAGAATTGCAGTCAAGTTCACGCAGTGACACTAAGAATGGAGTTAATTTGGACAGATATGAATAGGAACTATGTCTGAATGCGTACGCCTTTTTCCTTTTGGAGAAAAACCTTTCGTATTCGTCGAGCAATTCAAGGTAATGATTTCATCTTGGGTTCTTGTAATAAGCTTCGGAACCTGCATAGTTACGTCGCCATAGAGCTTTTATTACCTCCACCAAGGCGGTTATGTTTTCTTTGGCGTTTGTTTGTTTGTTTGTTGGTTGGTTGGTTGGTTGTCTGTTAACAGGATATTCAAAAAGTTATGGACGGATTTTTATGACAATTGTTTTTGGGTGGTCCTTGGTACAAGAACAAATCGATTACATTTTGGAAGTAATCTGCGTCTGGATGCAGGATTTGTTTTCAGGATTTTTTACATTATGATATGAAAAACGTGACCTGCTTCATGTGCGTGGCACTGATCTGGTGACCCTGTATGCCTTACCACCCACCTAATCTAACCACACAGGTCAATGGACTACACCATTTTATACAATTGGGAAGTGGAAAGGTAGACCAACACAGGCATATACATGTTAACTACAAAATGTTGGAGTTTTAGGTTTTGTTTTAGAAACAACATTTGTGCATTGGTGCTGTGTGTAATGGCGGGGAATTGTTTAGCCTTGATGGAGGTGTGCGCTCTCTGAGTGCTTTCTAGTTTTGCATATGCAGTCTCGCTGTGGGAACCTTACAGACGACTACCATGTCAACGAAAATAATAAGTGTTATTTACAAGATGGCATTTTGGAATCGTGCGTCCAAACTCTATTTTATTGTACTTGATTGAATGGGAAGGCAGGTGCCAGACTATTTCATAATTGTTGCACCAACCTCGTTTCCATGAGTACGATCTTGCTGCGCCATGTTGTTTCCCATCATGCCTTGCGCAATCTCAACCCCTGGATTTGTCTAATGTAAATGTGTCAAAATATGACACATTTAAATTAGGACTGCAGTCGATGTATCTAACGCACGACGTCATGTTAAAAATGTTCAACGTTTTTTTTTTTTTTTGGAGAATCAATTTGCATTTGGGCCAAAAAGTGAGAAGATTTTTAATCCATTCATGAAGAATTATTCATCAGTGTACAACGGAGTTTAAAAATGTATAATTTGCCTATATGCCATCAATCATCTTCATACCCACAAATCTCAAATTTGAAGAAAATTCCAAATATTTGCGGGGTTGGCCTCGCTTTGGATTCAAGATGGCCGACTTGTAAATAAGACAAATAACGGTGATGTATTGTTCGGGAGAACATACAAACTATTCATATACATGTACTCGGATCTTGTCATGCTTAAAAAAAATTCCATTATTCTGCTGACCATGTTTGGTTACAAAATCGTCATCACATTTTGTAATTATGTTTGCAAGTGCACCATCCTATCTCGCACAAGACGGAAATAGCCTACACCAAAGATGATGTTAAACGAAAACAAAACAATTTTTCCCACAAAAAGTCACACAAACTCTCTTGAAACAGTCCGAAGTCCGAACTCCCAAAGGCTCACATACACAGCTCACAATTACATCACGCACACACGATGATCGAGCCACTTTATTGCTCATCAGTATATACTCCGTCGCCTGTTGCAACCGCGGCCAACCGGTAGCCAATGACAATCACGCTAATCCCCGTGACGTCACGACCGTCTGCCAACATCGCAGCCAACCATCCGTCTTGATTTCATTCCTAGCGCGTACGTACATGCGCACACAGGGCCCTATGGCATGTGTTGATGTCTCACTGTATCCTCAGTTCAGCGTGTGATATCGCATGAGTGCGCCACGGATTTTTGTACTCGCCTCACGACAGTGGGTTTTGTTTTTGGTCCGTGTGTCTCCGACAGTGTCGCCCGGTCTTCGGGAGCCGATTCACCGGTCGTCTGTGTGTGCTGTGCCCGCTCGGTGTAATTACTCGCTGTTTGGATGCATATAAACTGCAGGTAAGTGGTTGCGAATAATGAGGCTCGCGAAGGTTCTGTGTAAGATTAGTAACGATATGCACACAGCGTCTTGAGTTCGGCACAGCCCATGAATTTGCTCAGATTCTAGGCAGCCTCTATCTCTCTGTACTGAACCCCACTACCACATTTCGGGGAAAAGAGTGAACAATCTACAATTTCACCATTGAAAGGACTGTTTTACAACTTTTTTCTGGTTTGGAAGCACACTTACCTGGTTACTATAGGATGCCCCCAAAAATTGTGCAAGCAGATATCCTTTAATTTCTCAAAAACTACTTAAAATGAGTATGTCATCTTGTGAAACAGTGAAAATGTTATGGAAATCCGTTCACAGACTCCCACCTCGTGGTTCTTGAACGCGCAAAATACTATCCAGGAACCGGATTTTAAAACACATTTTCCAATTCGTTTTTCCATTATTGGCTTTGGGCGATTTCCTATAAAACTCTTGGATTCGAACGCCGGCTATAATTTACTCGGCCTCCTTTTAAAATATATATGCCCACTTTTAATGCGCAAAATACTATCCAAGAACCGGATTTTAAAACACATTTTCCAATTCGTTTTTCCATTATTGGCTTTGGGCGATTTCCTATAAAACTCTTGGATTCGAAGGCCGGCTATAATTTACTCGGCCTCCTTTTAAAATATATATGCCCACTTTTAAATAATCAAAAACAGTTGTTTTCTATAATGCAACTTGGTTTGATGTTGTCAGCGATCAGCGAAACAAATTCTAGACCCGAAGCCAAAACCAAACCGAAGCCTATATAAGACTGAAGTTTCACTTCTTGTTAGCTGTTAGTGATACAAATGACCTTCTCTCTTGTCAGTATTTGTTATATACATGTAGTGTTCAAATATTTGTGACTCGAATTGACTCGAGCTACATATTTGACTCGACTCGACTCGACCTTCTTGACCTAATGACTCGACTCGAGTCACTTCTTTAAAATGACTCGACTCGAGTCACATCTTTAAAATGACTCTACTCGACTCGAGTCACAAAATCAGTGACATGTTACAACTTTGATATTTGTCAAGGGTTATTCAAAAGCAATTTTTTTTCACAAAGCTTTGCTTTTATATTCTGGACTCGAGTCTTATTAGAATATGAGGGACTCGAGTCGAGTCATTTGCTCGCAGTGGGTCGAGTCGAGTCATTTACTCGCAGAGTCTCGAGCCAAGTCATTTACCCTTGGGGACTCGAGTCAAGTCGAGTCATCAACAATTGTGACCCGAGTCGGACTCGAGTCGAGTCATTGACTCGAGTCATTACATCTTTGATAAATACTTCATACTTAGGTACCAGCACTTCGCTCCCTCCCCCCCCCCCCCAACGGCACCCAAGGTCGTTCTGAGCGTTGACATACCGTCCTTTTACGTTGTCGGGATTTGCGAGATCGATCGTTATCCGTTTTCTCGGGTTTTCTTTCATAATGGGTGGTTCATTCCATTTTGTCTTTACAGCAAGTGGATAATCCAGTTTTGGGGATCTTGGAGAAAAATTGGGAATTAAAAAAAAAAAAGTGGTCCTTTTTTTGAGAAATTAGAAGTAGCCCGGTTGTGGTGAGGCGGTAGAGTGAATTTACATAAATTGTGTCTCAATTAAATTTATTTAACACTCCTATGCAAACATACATTTCTGTACCAATGTGTCCTTTCAGTCAAAATCAATCAAGTGACTGTTTTCAACAGTTACGAGCTCCCAGCTTGCATAAAGCAGGATTGACTGGCTGTGACTGTTTACGTAACTTGATACAGCCATGCTTTGACTGTCGCTGATTGATAAGCCTACCACTTGCCTGTTTTTGTCTGTTGACTGAATTCAACTATTCACGGTACTTGCTTGAAACACGATATGACTGTTGGTGACTAGCCGGTGAAAAAGGCATGGCAGGGGAAGAGGATTGATTGTTTGACTGTCTGTGACTGTTAAGCATATTAAATTAACAAGCATACAGTCTTCATGCGATTGTCATTTTTCTGCTCTGTTGTATGATTATAATACTCCTAAATGTAGCGTTGGATAGAGCTATACAGGCCCACTCATGTGTTGTCCCTCTTTCCGGTTTTGAAAAGCGATCAAGGGTCACATTGATATCATGTCGTTAAGTGCAAAATGCCACTTTAATAACTCCCGCATGTTACTACATACGTTCCTAATCATATTGGACTTCCAAAAAATTCCCTTGCACGTATGCTCCATTAAAGCTTATGCAGCTAGTCAGCTATACGTCTGATGGTATCGCTTGAATACTCTAACCGTACCACTGACTAGGATGATAATTAGGCTGAGCGATTCATTTCGACAATTGCAATATGCTTCAAATTCTGCGGTCACTGTACAGCGATGGTTTTGCGTATGGTACAGTCTCACCAACACCGTTACGCCATAGTGGCGTAACTGTGCATATACATGTATATGCGTAATACGTACATATACTCAGTGGCGTAACTCAGGTGGGGGGGGGGGGGGTTACAGAATTTGGGAGAGGCAAATTGAGTTTTTTTTATTGTTTAAAACCATTGAGTACCCCTCCAGAAAATGGTCCCCTCCACCAAAAGTGCCTCCTGCAAATGTACAGCGACATTTCTGGTTTTCTATAGGCCTACTTATAGGGTTTTTTTTCGTCAAGGCCAAACTTGCATCAAGCTGACGCACTGAAGTAGGGATGAGAGTGTTTTCCAGTGAAATCGTAGATTTGTTTTCCTGTAAAGAGTGCACTGTGCACCACTGATGTCGAAGCTGATCACTTCTCCCCTCCCCCCAAAAATAGGTCATTAAAACACGCCTGTATGGTTGATGTTACCCCTTACGTAACGAGGCTGAAATCGAAAGCTAAACGATCGGTGTGTATTTCTCGTATATAGGGGCAATTCCACGAAAAAGTGGACACAGCTGGAAAGAGGAAACTGTATGAAATTTTCCAAACTACAAGCATCACAACATCACATGTGGTGTCAAATTAAAGGGGACAACAAGATCTTTCATTTGAGTGATGTGCCAATGAGATGGAATGTAGTTAATTATGATTTTGTGGCTGCAATATGCGAAACAGCCCCTTGTAAAACCATTATAAGGTGCTACATTATGGGTCTCATATTTCTCATAAACTTTATAAACTTTGTGTACCTTTTCACGTGAATTAAAAACGTTCCCGCCAAAGTACCCGATGTTGGAATTTTGTTTATCTATTTCTCCCGTGTAAACAAACGTTGTTTAACTTTAACGCCGGTCAAAAAAAAAAAATTTAAACCATTTTTCACACTGCCGGAAAAAGTGTGATTAGTCAATGTGTGAATTACGTGTGTAATGCACGTTAAAGAACCCAGTAACACTTATCGCTAAGAGAAGGGGTTTGCCCCGATGTTTCTGGCAGTGGCTGCAATATGCACCGCAGCACCTTGTAAAACCATTATAAGGTGCTACATAATGGGTCTCATATTTCTCATAAACTTTATTTACCTTTCATTAATAATAGAAATAATTTTCAGCGCCTTGAGTACCTAATTGTTGGTAGAAACGTGCGCTATATAAGACTCCGGTATTATTATTATTATTATTATTATTATTTGAAGTCATTATTAAACGGAGTCATGGCATTGCCATATTTGGCATTACAATCGCCTTTATTGTAGTCATGATATCGAAAAGCTCCGGTAATAAATGAATCGTCACCGACACCACGAACTGACACCCAGTGATCAGCGTTGCAGAAATACAAATCGGAGAAAAACGCTTTTAAAGGCTTGACACGAATTTACTCAGTAAAATAATCCATCTATCTTAGAGGTTTTGGTATCACTTAACGTGAAAATGCTTAAACTACTCAATTATAAACGTTATTTGTGAAAATCTGCTTAGTTAATTAGCAATTAATTGATTAAGATGGGTGTCAGTTCGTGAAAACCAAAATTGACGTGTTTTCGGAGAGTGCGTGCATGCAATAGCGTTAGTGAGTGTCAGTTCGTGAAAACCAAAATTGACGTGTTTTTGGAGAGTGCGCGCACACACTGCGCATGCGTGCGCGCACTCTACCAAAACGCGTCAATTTTGGTTTTCACGAACTGACACTCACTAACGCTATTGCATGCGCGCACTCTCCGAAAACACGTCAATTTTGGTTTTCACGAACTGACACCCTGTGCAGGGTCACTTCGTGGTAACCAAAAATACCAGAATTGACCAATTTCTTGAAAATTCACTAGTAAAATTTGCTTATTTTAGATGATTTCAGCAATTTTAACCTCGTCATGTTAAACTTCATGATACAAACTGTTTATATGTGCAAAAAAAGAAAATTTGAATTTTTAATTTTTTTTGTACACATGTGATGCAAAGGGTGTCAGTTCGTGGTGTCGGTGACGGAATGTCATCGAAGAAAAAAAAACTCCAGTTAAAAATAACATTATTGCAAAGAAACCAAAGTTCACATTCATTGTCGAATATTTTCACTTAAAGTATATTTAAACGCGCTGAAAGAAAGCCACAAATCAACGCTGCGGCGTGACAGGCCTTGAGATATGACGTCAGCTTCAAGGAATCGCACCCCTTCCATTAATTTTGACACTTAATTTGTATTAATTTAAAACTGTCGTGACTTGGGCTGGGCGCGCCATTAATTCACCGTCGGTATAAGACATATCAGCCCCTGGTGAGAAAAAAAACTAATTCCGTAAAAAAACAACACCATTAAAATTCCTTGGTATCAATCACGGGAATTTGACTGATTGGTGTGCCATGCAAATTTGTCATCCGACTGTTCGATCTTCTTGAAACATTACATGTACCTTTTTGCCGTCCATAATAGGCTATACGATATCTAAAGTCGCCACGAACCAGGCAATGCTGCACGTTTCTATGGGACGCGAGTGATTTATCTATGTCAAAAGGCGAGAGCATACCTTCAGCGCTGAAATGTAATAATGCGCAGCGAATACCTTATTTAGAAAAAGTATTCACAATCTTGTAGTCT